AAAACCATCAAAGATTTTGCCCACAGGACGTTTCGATCAACGAAAGAAGTTAGGTATTTGGCTGAGTTTGAAGTGCCAGAAGACTTCGGAGAGGTTGGCGCTATTTTGGTGGAGAACGAACATCGCAGGGAAATGTTCGTCAAAGAAATTGTCCTCGATGGCTTCGAATTGGGTCCCATTAGATTTACCTGCGAGTCATGGCTTCATCCCAAGCATGAAAACCCTGTCAAAAGAGTTTTTTTCCCCGACAAGGTTTCATCAAAACCTCTTACCTATTTCACTGTTTTTATCCATACGTTAAATATGAAGATACATATGAATATAAAACAGTAACATTGTGAGGTTGAAACAGTCATATTTGCCATCAGAAACTCCAGAAGGAGTGAAGAGGTTAAGAGAAGAAGAACTACAACATTTGCGAGGGAATGGACAAGGTCAACGCAAGAAGTTTGACAGAATATACGATTACGATGTTTACAACGACCTCGGAGATCCAGATCGCGACCCTGATCTCGCCAGACCGGTTCTTGGTGGCCCAGAACATCCATATCCAAGGCGTTGCAGAACAGGAAGACCTCGCTCCTTAAAAGGTACATAAATCACTCATTGATATCTTACTATTATTAGAAAACATATCAGATTTTTTATTCTCATTTTTTACTCTCTCATTATTAAAATTTGTGTTATAATAAAAAAAAACTATGATACGTTTAACAATTTTTTTTATAATGGATTATGCGTCGTTATCATGTACACGGTTATAAAAAAACTGTAAATTTATTTCTAAAAAAACATTTTTCAATAAAAAAAATCAGTATTATCATTTCATTATCGTTTAAAAAGTGTTGATGGTCGAAAGAATTTAATGAGATTGTCTTATGACGGAATTCTCAACCATATGCACCTTAGCTTTTTCTCTGTCCCACATTTCCAGTCATTTTACAACTGTTCAGAGAAAAAATATGTTGTAGAAATTGTATTCCAATAAATAAATATATTAAATAATTTTGTATATTAATCATAAAGTTAATACAATGTTTTTATGCTAAAAATTTTAGTAAAATTCGTTTTCTATTTCGTATAATACAGAAAATGATTAAATATTAAAAAATAAAACGAAATTACATTTAAATTTGCATAGTTTAAGTGTAGTGGTGGTTGAACAGATCCGTTGTCGGAGGAAAGAAGTAGTACCGTGTACGTGCCTAGAGACGAATGCTTCTCCGAAGTAAAGCAATTAACGTTTAACACAAAGACGCTAGCTTCGGGATTGCAAGCGTTGGTACCGGCGCTGACGGCACTCATCACTGACAAGGAACAACCTTTTCACGTGTTCTCGGACATAGATTCTCTTTTCGACGAAGGAGTTAGCTTGCCTCCTGGAGAAGTCAAAATCAGCACTCTCTTGCCCAGAATCGTCAGTTTTATTAAGGAAAAAGGAGAGGACATTCTCCGTTTCGAGCCTCCCGCAACAATGGACAGTAAGATCCATTTCCATTTCCATCTTTATTCAGGTTACTACTTACTAATTAATCGTCATTCAACTGCCAGAGGATAGATTCTTTTGGTTGAGGGACGAAGAATTTGGAAGACAGACTCTAGCGGGTCTTAACCCTTGTTGTATCAAGTTGGTCACGGTACGTAGATTTCTTCCCTTCTCCAGTACTAAGTTTTTAATCAGAGTTTTATACCAACTAAATTTCTTTGTCATGTAGGAATGGCCATTGAAAAGCAAACTTGACCCTGAAATTTATGGCCCTGCGGAATCGGCCATCACAACTGAACTAGTTGAGCAGGAAATAAAAGGATATCTTCCAGTCGAAGAGGTATGTTTTGATGCAAGAATGAATAACACACATGCGTGAACATAACTACATGTCAGTGTGTAAATGTGAAAATGTGCAAAATTAATGCAGGCCATAAAACAGAAGAAACTGTTCATCCTGGACTACCACGACTTGCTATTGCCATTAGTGGAGGAAGTGAGAAAAATAGATGGCACGACGCTATATGGATCAAGGGCATTGTTCTTCCTGACAGGCAGCGGCACTTTGAGACCACTGGCCATTGAGCTAACTCGGCCACCAATGGATGGAAAACCTCAGTGGAAGAAAGTCTTCAAACCCACCTGGCACTCAACCGGTGTATGGCTTTGGAGGCTCGCCAAAATCCATGTCCTAGCTCACGACACTGGTTACCACCAACTCATCAGTCACTGGTAAAAACATCATTTTTAGTCATTACGTACTGACTCATGTTGAAGCTGAAAATACTAGTTTCTGTAAGTATAAATAGTGATCCATGTAGGTTTTGGCTTTTATCTGCAGGCTAAGAACTCATTGTGCAACAGAGCCATACATTATAGCAGCAAACAGGCAACTGAGTGAAATGCATCCGATCTACAGATTACTGCGTCCGCATTTCCGTTACACGATGGAGATCAACGCGCTTGCTCGAGAGGCTTTGATAAACTCCGACGGAATAATAGAGAGATGTTTTACTCCGATGAAACACTCCATTCTGCTAAGCTCAATCGTCTATGACCAAGAATGGCAATTTGATCTCCAATCCCTTCCCAAGGACCTCATTCACAGGGGCTTGGCCGTCGAGGACCCCACCGCCCCTCACGGCCTCAAACTCACCATCCAAGACTACCCTTACGCCAACGACGGCCTCGACCTCTGGGCGGCCTTCAAAACCTGGTTCACCGAATACATCGACCACTACTACGCCGACTCCAACGCTATTCAATCAGACACAGAACTCCAAGCCTGGTGGGAAGAGGTCAGAACCGTTGGACACGGCGACAAAAAGGATGAACCGTGGTGGCCGGTGCTGAAAACCAAAGAGGACCTCGTTGAGATTGTGACGACCATTGCGTGGACAACTTCGGGCCACCATGCTGCTGTGAACTTCGGACAATTCTCCTTCGCCGGCTATTTCCCCAACAGGCCAACCATTGCGCGTACCAACATGCCCACCGAGGACCCTTCAGATCCGGAGTGGGAGCTGTTCTTGAAGAAACCAGAGGTGACTATGTTGAAGTGTTTTCCGTCGCAGTTTCAGGCCACCACGGTGATGACGGTGTTGGACATTCTGTCGAATCACTCGCCGGACGAGGAGTATATCGGGGCCGCAGTGGAGCCGGCGTGGGAGCAGGAGCCACGTGTGAAGGCGGCGTTTGAGAAGTTCAAAGGGAGATTGATCGAGCTTGAAGGGGAGATTGATAGCAGGAATGCTGATGAGATGATGAGGAACCGGAACGGCGCCGGGGTTGTGCCCTACGAACTTCTGAAGCCGACGTCGGAGGCCGGAGTTACCGGAAAGGGTGTTCCTTACAGCATCTCCATTTGATGTTAATCCTCTCAGTAATTTAGTTACGTGACTTTAATATCAATTATTATAATTGAATCTAAGAGAAAATAAAATGTAGTTAAGTTGATTGAATAAATTCTATAATTTCCCTATATCCATCAATCGAAAATTATTATAATTGAATATAAAGAATATAAAATATAGATAATATAATTAATTGTTAATATGCCTTCGATAAACTCAAATTATTACCAGATTTTTACTATTATCAGTAAATTTTGTTCAACAAAAATTAAGGATTTTTTATAGTATTTTACTAATTTTTGACAGTATATTTAATTAAAAACATAAACAATACAATTAAAATATTAAAAACGAAAATATATTAAGCCTTAAACTTCTAGAAAAAGTATTAGAAATATATATATATATATATATATATATATATATATATATATATTATTGCATAAATAGTAAAATTAATCAATTAATTTCATCTCTTAAGTATTTTCTATTTTTTATTTGTTGTCTAATGTGTTTTGTAATTTCTATTTTCAATATATTGCGTGCTTATAATTAATTAATTAATTAATACTGTTAATATTTTTATTAAAATTTTCAAATAATTTCTATGATCTAAAATTAGTATTATTGTTATAAACGTTTTTAATGATTTGAAATCTTTTTCATTGTTATTGTCAATAGTAGTAGTTACACAAACAATATATTATTAGGATTAACTGGTTCTTTAATAATTCAATTTAGTTTTATTTCAGGTTTTTTCTTTCTTTTTCTTTATTTAATGACTTATCACTATAAATTAATAAAAAATTCAATTAATTTTTATTATTTGAAAATAAATAAATCATAAAAAAAATTATAATCATTAACACATAAAACACATTCAAATTTCAATTTCTTCATTTTTTTTCTTTATTTAATGACTTATTACTATAAATTAATAAAACATTCGATTAATTTTTATCATTTGAAATTAACTAAATCATAAAAAAATTTATAAACATTAACAACACATTCAAATTTCAGTTTCTTCCTTTTTTTCCCCTTTATTTTATGACTTATTACTATAAATTATTAAATTTTTGAAATATTTTTTATCATGTAAAATTAATATTATATGTAATTAAATTATATAAAAAATGGAAAACATTAACACAAAATATCAAATTCACATATTTAAATACTAATTACTATTGCCGTTTACAAAAAAATTTAACATAAGAATTTTTAATTAACTTTTAATGATAATTAAAATGTTATTTATCAAGTAATGACGTATTAAGAAATTAATTTACTTTATGTTAGTTTTGAAAAGTTTTTTCATTTTCCAACTCATTAAACTTCTCAAATTCCTCCCAACCCTAATATATTCTCCATCAGTAATATTATTTTCAAAACCTTTTTTCTTAATGTTACTTCAGTATTACAAAATCAAATCAATAAATATAATACTTTTTTTAGTCAAATTACTCTACGTTGTCCAAAAGTATTTAATTTTTGACCTAAAATTTTATTCTTTCAAGATACATTTCAAATTCTAGTTTCTTTTTTATTTATTTAATAGCTTATTAAATGTTAACGTGTGTTAATTATTCACATTGGCATAACGTGAGTTTCTTTTACCGTGTTTTTCAGCAAAATACGCAAACCGAAGGGGAAAACACTGTGATGGCCGTCTTGGATAAACTTTCAACTCAAACTAGAATCACTGATTCATGAAGGAATCAAAATACAAAATTAAAGAACTGAATTTGCATAAAGACATGATACAAGAAATGTTTCTTGAGGATGTTCTTGAACCAATGAGAACATGTGTTGGATCTTCCTTTCGTTCTCACGATCCACAGAATTAGTACTCAACAGCACTGATCCTTAACTTGAATCTCATTCAAGAGCAGGATATATAGAGAAAAGTATAAAACAATTATAACAGAGATCTAGGAACTTGTTTAAAATAAAGAAATAAAAATTGTTGTTGCTCTTGATCAATGACCAGCTTCTAGTCTATTGTTTTCGAAGAAAATTCCTGAACCAATGCGCAGAGAGCTTTTGGTGTCTTTTCAAATTATCCTTGTAATCGATGAAGTTAATTCCAAATCGCAAGGTGTAGCCAGCACTCCATTCGAAGTTATCCAGAAGCGACCATGCAAAGTATCCATGTACTTTCACCCCATCCCTTCAAACCAAAACCCATCAAATAATAAACCACTTCAAATCATACAATTTAAATTATGGAACAAGTAAAGGCAGTTTCACTTACTTTAGTGCACTTAAAATGTAATAAAGATGGCGATAGAAGTAGTCAATTCTGTAAGTATCCATCAGTGCCTCTTCAAGTGATAGTGTTGGATCATTGGACTCGTCCATCCCTATAATTTAAGCATGAGGAAATTTTTGAAGTGGTATAAATGGAAACAAATAGGAGAATAATAAAGTATTACCATTTTCTGTTATGTAAATTACAGGGTTTTTATACTTAATCTTGATGTACAACAATAGTTCTCTAAGTCCCCTTGGATAAACATATAGCCAAGATGAAGCAGCCTGCACAGAGATGATGTTTCCTTGTTATTTCATCATAATACAAACGACTTAATTTTACTTATGAGGTACACTAAGATGGCTAATTTTTTTGATATAATAACATCAAATGAAGAAGAGTGTTACGTACCCTTGGTCCAATGGGTGACCCGTTACGTTCAGCTGTCATAAGTCAAAAGAATTTTGTTTCCATCAAAGACAGTTTCCATTTTTTTGAAATGCAGAATAAAAGGCAGTATCAGTAATTAATTTTCTAAGAAATTATCCATTCTTTAAGGTATTTTACTTTAATTAAAGATAAAAAAAAAAGAGGATATGATGTATAATTCCTGATTAAGATTTGCAGCCAAAGTGTTCTTACTTGTAAAATTGACTCTAGTATCTTGGAAATAGCTAGTATTGCCTGAGCTATTAACTGGATGGGGTATGTGAGCAGCATAATCAGTTGTGTAGTAATTGAGTCCAATAAAATCAAACGAGCCAATAAGTAGCCTGGATTGCTCTTCTGTGAAGTTTGGTAATCGGCTTCCAAGCAAAGAATGCATGGTTTTTGGATACTTTCCTCTTGTAAGTGGTTGCATATACCTGCAATGAAGCCAATTTAGAAACATCAAACTAACACAGGCTCAAAGAGACAGTTTAACAACATTACTTAAACTTTACCATCCAAACATGAAATCAAGAGCTCGTTTGGCAGCTCGATCATCTAATGTGTCATTTGAGAACGGAATAAACCAGTGACAATTTAAGCTGATGCCTATCAAACCCTTTTGAAATGCCTGCTCACATTCAGAATGAACAGCAGAACATGATGTCTACTACTAACACATTCAAGCATATATAGAAAAGGGTTAAATGTTTATAAACTGGAATAAGATTTTCTGGTAGTGCACCTGATAATTGGTTTTATAAACTTTGACAGCAGCTGCATGAGCTAGCAGTTGGTAGTGTGAGCTCATGTAGGGCTCTGAGCCCATACTGTAACTCCATGGCTCATTAAAAGTAATCCAATGTTTCACTCTATCTCCAAACTCCTTGAAGCATAGCTCTGCGTAGTCTTTAAAATCGTTTCTGCACATAGAGATATGACTATTCAACTCTGATGAAAATTCAATCTATATAACCAGCAATGATCTATAATTAATGTCTAATATTCTACATCTTGAATGCAAATCTATGTTTTGTAACTCACATAATACGAGGGCTTAAGAATCCACCGTATTCATCTTCTAAGGCTTGGGGAAGATCCCAATGGAAAAGAGTGACAAATGGCTGAATATCTGGATTAGTAACATTCTTTCTCATTATTATGAACATGTCAATATATACACACATGTACGAATACAGAATGGATAATATGTATGACCATTAGCCAGCAGTTCGTTGATGAGATTGTTGTAATATTTGATTCCTTCTTGGTTTATATCCGAGCTAATGTTTCCTTCTGCATATTTTTCAGAGCAGTGTAAATGATTTTTTGACTTATTGAAACCTTTAAATACAATACTAATTCCAACTTTGCTTACTTGGCAATATCCTTGACCACGAGATAGAGAATCTGTACGCATCAGTGTTCATATACTTCATGATCCCAACATCTTCCTATATGAATTTTGTTTATGATAAAATATAAACAAAAACAGTAAGTACTGATGCAATGCTGTTTAAATTAGAGCCATTATTGCATAGTATGTGCTTATTAAACCCAACTACTCAATGCCTCAAGATAAAACATAACAGTTTTAAACAGGACTTTGACATCTCAAACAGTTTAAACCAAAACCAAAAATATTTTATCCACAAAATTAGACCAAAACAACCTATATATATATAAAGGACTTTTAACATCATACTCTCTTTTCCATACACTCTTTGATTGACTGAAATTCATATAGATCACGCTAGTTTGAGAACAAAATTTACTCATTTAATAATTTTTAGGCAATAAGAGAGATACTAATATTTCTGATAAAAACCAAGATAAAATAGAATTAACAAGACACTGAGAGTGCAGAACAAATCTCGTTTGGATTGTACCTTATAACGATGATATTGATCGACAGCTACATCTCCATTGCTTCTGTCAGATATCTTTTCTGTTTCCAAATACAACAATTTGTAATGAAAAAAACCATACATTAAAACTGCCATTGCCCAGAGGAAGTGAAAACAGTGGTTATCAGATCAATATGTTGATTGAGCCTTCAATTTTTTCTTCTTAAATACCTAATCAATTACAAATGTTTTTCTTAACAATCTTTCTAATCTTCACTTTTAACGGGGATTAGAAGAACCACTTTTCATATCATAAAATGACATTACAATACTACCAGTCAAATTTTACACACAAAAAGTGAGGAACTCCACGCTGTATGTTCCTTATCTTCAGCTAATACAAGCTTCGTACTGATATGTTCAAACAATCTAATCCAGTCACGAACTTATCTGATTTTCAAACACTTACTTTTACACTTAATCTTTAGTTTTCACCCATTACATCTACTCACATTTCTAAATGGCTAAACTAAATGAATATAGATAACAACCAAAACAGATAAGGTAAATCAAACACCTCTTCATCTTTCATCCAAATTATTCAGACAATCATATAGAGATACCTGGATGTTGATGAGAAAAGGTATCCCATATGCTTGGTCCTCTACCTCCTTCATTTGCAGCACCTTCGTACTACATTACAGACACAACAATTATTAATTATACCATACAAATCTAACACTTCTAACAACCTTAGGGAGATGATATGACATGGTTCTTGAGTCTTTTAAGGGATTCTAACAGCAATGAACAGTCAACAAATACGTATAATATTCTAGGATACTGATTTCCATAAGGTATTTATACTATAAATTTATCTTATTTTTAGTTGATATAGAATTGAATAAAATGATACCCACCTGGTAGGCTGAGGAGGCAGTGCCGAAGATGAAAGCTGGGGGAAAACTCGTCCTATTAAGAGAAGAAACATCAAGAATGGGCGGAACAGCTTGTGTGATTGTAATGGAAAAGTTTACAAGGAGAGTGAAGAGTCCAACATGGAGAAGAAATTGATAGCCACTGAATACCATATCCTTGTTCATATTCAGTGAAGTCTCTGTATGCGCTTAATTTTGTTGATTAAATATACTCATAATGATATTGAGGTGTGATTAGCTGTTACATACTGACATTAAATAATTCCAAAGAAAACTGATACGCAGGTTTTCAGTTTTACATTTTAAAATATTCATGTCCCCCACTACTAGTTGCAGGACACACTTTAAAACACGCACGTTTCAAAACATGTCTTCCTGTTTTAGAAAATCTTAAAAGAACAAATATATAAATAAAGTTAGGAGTTATTATAACATCATAACCGGATGTGTTTTATATTCATAAGTAACAATGAAACTAGAATTAGATTATACAACTAGCACAGAGACAGGAATGACAATAGGTTGCAGTACCAATAGTCTTACCATTATCTCTTACCCATCCCCCGATGAGATGATATTGGTTTAAAATATATCTGTTGATATTTTAAAAACATATCTGCGAATATTTTAAAAAAATATTTAAAATAAAATCTAAATAGAATTACAAAAGAAATATATAATATAATATAAATTAAATTTAATATAAATTAAAATTTAATATAATAAAATATAAATTAATTTTAACTAAATTTAACTATATAAAATATAATTTTAATTTTAATTAATATCTATGTATACGGATAATATTATATCATATTAAATATTTATTATAAATTTTATCTTTATTTATTTTGAATACGAGTATTTTTGTCAGTGACATATATATATATATATATATATATATATTTCATGTCATAAATTCTAATAAATAGAGTTTATGTAACACACGTTTGAAATCCCTGTAAGTAGTATATCATTAACATCATTTTCACGGAGAAAGATAAATTTTATTTGGCAAAATAAAAAACCAACCAACTATAATTATAACTTCTTATGTTATTGCCTTGCAAAGTCATTATATAAAGTTATTATTTACTTTTGATGAGTCTCTTTATGTATATAACTTTTAAAACTTCTTAAAACTTTTACTATAAGACTCACATTTTTATTAATTTTATTTAGTTGTTTTTAAAATATAAAAAATATTTATTATAATCTTTTGATGGAAGGTTTTCTTTAAAATAAAAGTTTTAAATTTATGATGATATATGTATAGACTAAAAGGAAATTTGATTTACCAAAACTGAGAAACCAAAACCAACTATAATCATAATTATAAGAGGCTATTAAGTTCAAAACCTAAGACTTTCAATAACAATACAACTTTAAATTTCATGTGCACATCTTGACGATCATGACTTAATTGTTTTCTTTTTTCACATTTATGAAAGCAGACACATGGATTAAGTTTGTTTGGGTTCAGACACTAACCAAATGGGGCTTCTCTTTGCACCTCCAAAATTTATTCTGTCATAAAATAAATCATTTTATAATCATAACGAAATAAAAATTATTTTGCGAATAAGATTATTTTAGTTTAGAAAAAAAACTAAAATGGTTATATTTTGTAAGAAAAGAAGTTAAAAAAAATATTATGTAGTTTACAGTAAAGGGAGGTTTATTTTTGTTTTTTGATAAATAAGAAAATGGAGAAAAAGAATCTGAAAAGAATTTGGGGGTTGATTGTAAATGGAGAATGTAACAGATTTGAATCAAAGAGAAGGCTCACAATTAAAAGAGAATCTGAGAGGAAGAAGCAGGAAGGGAAGGGAAAGGAGATAAAGCAGCAGAATTCCATATTAGTTTCAGAACACGAATTTCATATCTCGTTTTACTTAGAACCATGCTGAAGATATTTGACTGACTAAGATTTTCTGAGAAAGTTCTTGAACCATTGTGCCGAGACTTTTGGGTATCTTTTCAAACCCTTTTCGAAATCCACAAAGATGAATCCAAATCTCACAGTATAGCCAGCGGCCCACTCCATGTTATCCAGAAATGACCATACAAAATATCCTTTCACATTCACACCATCCCTTGTATGCAAACAAAATAATAAAAACACAAAAAAATTATATCATCAACAATACTGTGAAGTAAAATGCAAAACCAAATAAATCAATCAAAAGAAAGAGGCCATGCTCCTCTGCTAAAACATTATTACCTGATTGCCATTTTAACATAATAAAGATAACGATATAAGTAATCAACTCTGGGTGTATCTAAAAGCTTTTCTTCAAGTGATAGTGTTGGATCATTGAACTCATCATAACCTGTCAATTTTGTTGGATTTTCGTTAGCTTTTTTCTGTAATGAAACATCATCAATTCGTTACCTGTACAAAGTAATGTATGACTGATTTATTACCATTTTCAGTAATGTAAATTAAGGGGTTATTGTAATTCTTCTTGATGTAAATCAACAACTGTAGTAATCCTCGTGGATAAATGCATACCCAGTCCGAAGCAGCCTGCAAATAATTGCAGTGTTCTCTAAATTTTTTCGACATACGTGATCTTTTGGAGTATAAAAAGTAGCAACTGTAACGTAGCAGTCAATGATATGATGAAATACATACATATGGACAAAGGATCCGGCCTTCACGCTGATCTGTCATTAAAGAAAGAGGTTTTCAAACATAAGTACTATGTAGTTTGAGACTCTGATGTCATCATGTTATGAACATAATTATGTTTTGCAAATTGCAACAGATGTACTCATAACATGTAGAGATTGGAGACTTAATGATCTCAGATCATCTAATGATTTCTTGTTTGAAGATTCAATAGAAATAAAGCAACTCGTGCAGATGTATAAAGAACTTGATAGTTACTTGTAACATTAACTAGACGATCATTGAGTGGGGATGGTTTGGAACCACTTAGATCAGGTGCATTGACAGCATAAACAGTTGCATAGTGGTTTAGACCAAGAAAATCAAACGACCCCTTAAGTTGTCTGGCTTCTTCTTTGGAGAACCTAGGTAGACGGTTTCTCACCAAATGTCGCATGCTTGTTGGATACTCACCTTTTGTGAGAGGATCCATATACCTAACCACAAATGCAAAATGCAGATGTCATCAAGAACAAAGGAAATATCATTACATTTGATTTCCGCAGGTTAGAGATAAATATGTATCATTTTAAATTTCACTTTCAATTGCAGATGTCAGAATACTATAATTTCTTACCACCCAAACCTGAAGTCAAGGACTCGAAGTGCAGCGTCTCGATCTGTTATGTCATCACTAGCGGGCAAGAACCAGTCACTGTTCAAGGTAATTCCTAGTAAACCCTTTTGAGATTTCTGCATACGCAATTTTCAAATATTTTGGTTATTTAGTCTCATATGGCATTCAATATAATTTCACATGAAAATAAAGCATTGTCCGAATATTGACTAGTGGTTTAACCCTTTGTATTAGAAAAGTTCAATTCTCATGTTCATGTACAAAGGTCAATATATAAATATTGATTTCTGGGTTTTATAAAGCATTTGGTGATATAAAACAGTTGAAGAGTGCAGAGAACCTGATACTTGGACTTGTACAAGTTGGCAGCAGCAGCATGAGAAAGAAGTAGATTGTGCGAAACCAAATAGGGCTCAGTTCCTGAATCACCACCTGTGCAATTCAGTTTTTGCCAACCAGAACACCGACCTAGTGCATGCTCTCCAAATGTATAACCATTCAAGGCCACAGTGCTGGGTTCATTCAGAGTAATCCAATATTTCACCCTATCACCAAATTCCTTGAAGCACAGTTCAGCAAAGTCCCTAAAATCATCTCTGCATACTCACATGAATCATATAAGTTTATCAGTTTATAAGATTCACCAAACCATTTCCCTCAATAGTCACACAATGTTCATTAGTTAATTATACAGTGGAAACTGGGGTTACTCACACAATGTGACGACTTAAAAAGCCACCATACTCGTCCTCCAAGGCTTGGGGAACGTCCCAATGAAAAATGGTCACAAATGGTTCCATACCTGCATTATTCAAGATTATTATTATAATTTCTGACTAACAATTATATAGATGTGATATAACAGGGAAATGTAAAGAGGTAAATGATAAATATTAATGAATTATGACCATTCTTCAGTAGCTCGTTGATGAGATTATTATAGTAGTTTATCCCTGCCTTGTTTACTCCTGCAGAAAGCTTTCCTTCTGCAAATAATTCACAAGAAATTAATAAAAAGTTACTATGAAGCACGAACGAAGAAAAAGAACTTATAAACTTGACTTACTCGGTAATACCCTTGGCCAAGAAATGGAGAATCTATAAGCATCCAAATTCATGTCCTTCATGATTCCTATATCCTCCTAAAACATGTGAATCAGGTTGTCATGACTCTACCTATGTTATATGTTCTGGTATATCTACCAGTCTCTTCTATTTTCCGAAGCATCTTTTAAAAAGCTCTAGGTTCCAAAGTGAGTAGTGATCACTCATAACGATATTATTATATTTGTATGTTCTGATATAAATTAATGTATTTCTATTAAAACCATATATACCTTATACCGATGATATTGGTCTGTGGTTACATCTCCAGTACTCCGATCTTTTATTTTTTCTGCATGCCATTTCATCGATATAAATAAGTAGACATTAGACATGTAATTAGGCAATTTAAAGTTATTAGGTATGGCAAGTTTCAGACAACATACTCATCCAACAGGAAAAATACTTCCTTCAGTTTCCACTATGTATTTGAAAAAACAAATATTGACAGCACTGTTGGAGGAGAAATATACCTGGATATTTGTGAGTGAAAGTATCCCATATACTCGGGCCTTTTCCATCTTCCCTTGCAGCACCTTCATACTACACCACAAAATTATCTCTCTTACCTTCTCAATACATAACAATGGTAAACTAATAATAAAAAAAAAGAGAGAGTAAATAGCACATGTAACTATAGAATATTTATACAGTCATCGAGTGATACAAAAAACAATATTAAGACCAAGTTTATTAACTCGTACCAGAGTTACACAGTGCCAGTTATACTCCAAAAACAAATAAATCTTTATTTTTCAATTCATGCATATCAGAATGCGCAACGTTGTATTGAAATTTATAAATTGTGTCTTTAAACCAAACATGCAGTTGAAAAAATCATACCAGTTTTCAGCTCAGGAACATGTTTGCATATGATTAAGTTAAAATATGATGTACCTGGTATGAAGCAGATGCTGTCCCGAAAACAAAGCCTTTGGGGAAACTGCTCCGGTTGAGATAAGAAACTTCAAGGATGGGTGGAACGGCCTTGGATTGAGTGAGGGTGACGATGGATGAGGTAACAAAAACGCATAGCATCGGAAACATGTTCGTTGTGATCATCATGATTCACAAAGTGAAGTTAAGGTAAGTGATGTTGTGTTCTATATTTGTCACCTTTATATATAATTTCAGTTTCTGTTGTAATACAAACAAAGAAACCTGCGAGTTTGTTTAATTACTCAAGGATAAAGCTGAGGCCATTTTCCTATGGACACGAAAGTTGGAATTATGAAGTTTAGACAACGTCAGTTCTACCAATAATTTAAGACTGTGTCGTGTCGTGAGTGGCTCTGGACTCTAATTTTCTTCTCTCTACTTTTAATTGTCTTTGATGTTACATTATGTAAATTTAAACATGTAAATTTGACAATATTACATTGGGACAATTATGATAAACTTGTATCTCAGTCTGACTTTTAAGGTGTATATGAGTGATTGATTTTGATGTGAATAGCACCATTTAATAGTCTTTTTTCTTTTCGCTAAATCTATAGCTACAAACTTCCACATTCACCTTATATTCATCATCTTCCATCTTTTTCTAACAGTTAAGTGACAGATACAATCGATGTGAAAAATAATTATTCCTTCTTTCTTCTCGTTATTCCCTCATTTGGATAAGGTTTTGTTTTCTTTTTCCTTTTTGTTTCAAAGGTCACAATAACACTGTTGGTAATGTGGTTTGTTTTGCTTTTTCATTTTTCACTTATTATTGTTACATTTGATATATACCGTTTTTTTCATTTCAGGAGTTTTGGAAAATTTTGTTTAAGCTTCTTTTCTACAAGAATATTTTTCTTTTTTGCCTAACTTTTTTTTTTATGTGAAGTGTGTTAAGTATAATTCTTACTGTAATTTTGATTTCATCTACTTTACATTTTCATCTTTTTCACGTAACCTTGATTTGAATGTTTTCCTTCTCTCGTTTTTATTTTCTTTCATAGTTCTTAATGATAGTTTTGGTTTGTGTTACTTTTTCCTTTTGATCTTTTGCTCTTTTATTGCTATTTTTCTTTTATAACTTAAGTATGTTTTTCATTTTGGGAGATTTCTTTTTGTGTTTTCCCAATTTTTATGAGATAGGTTTCTTTTGGCTATTTTTTTTCCGATGCATATTAATTATAACTTTGGTTTTTTCTACTTTTCTTTGTTTTTTTCCCTTTCGTATGACCTGATCTGAATGTTTTCTCTTTTATTTTTTTGTTTAACTTCTCATCGTCTTTATTCTCCTCATCCATCACTGCCACTATGACCGTATGACCGTTGTTACCGTTGCTACTACCACTATCATTATTATCGTCTGTCACTTTTTCTTTTTCCTTTTCCTCATTCTCTTTCTTATTCTCTTTTTTTCATCTATATTCATTTAATTTATAACGAGTATTTCGTTAAATTTGATGAAAAAACTATTGACCATTTTACCAAAAGATTAATGACGAATTATATATACTACGGTTATCGACATATTTTTAAAATTATGATTACTGATACCTTCGTTATTTTCAAAAATATAATTACTAATAAATTTATTGATCGATTTTAAAAAAATTCAATAACTAATGAACTTTACTACAACATTGTCAAAGTTAAAATGAAAACTTTGATACTTATTGTATAGTATGATATCTAGGTCGAACGGTTAACATCCAAGACCGATCGCTCTATTTACTGTAACAGTGTTCATCAACAACACCGCTCGTCATCCAGGTCAAACAGCGACAGCGCTCGTCAGTTATATTTACCGAATGGACGTACACTCATTACCGTTCGGTCATCACTATAGCCAAAAAGGGCGATTGTTGTTATTAAAGCTGGGGCGACAACGCTCGTCAGTTATACTTACCGAACGATCATCACCGTTCGGTCACCTCTATAGCCAACAAGGGCAATCGGTCTGGGCCACAATTGGGCCAGCGCTTATTATTGGGCCAAGTGTCCAACGAATGATAAAATAGTCAAAGATATCGGATTAAAGATCTGATAGGCGGTTTATGAGCAACCAACCGAATTTTAAGGTAACCAACCGGATTTTAAGGTAAATCTATTTATATTTTATTGGGCCTGTATCAGATTAGATCCAGGAGACAACCTATAAATACAAGGTCAGAACCATCAGCCAGGTAGGTTCAATTCACACTTCAAAACATTCCATAGTGATAACCATTCACTAAATATTTCATTAAGAGCGGAGGCTCTTCAATCACAAAATATAGTGACAAAATATTCATTGAAAATAAAATTTTTGAATTATCGACATATTTACTAAAAGACCCATTATCAAGTGATATTTTCGTAAATAATTAAAATAATAGAATTTGTTGGTAAAATTTGTTAATAAATTTTATTTTAACAATAGATTTTTTTTTCCTTTGAATAAATTCTATTTTATTGACTAATTTTTTATCTATCCGTAATGTGGTATTTTCTTGCTGTGAGTTGTAATTGACAATTGTAAGTTGTTCTATAATATATTTCAATGCCCAAGCAAGCATTCATCAATTTGTATATTGACAGTGAAGTGTTATAAATATTACTTATAAAACGTTGATGAATGATTTTGAAGTCCATAGAAAGTGAAAATTGGCAAGTTATACATTAAATTTTAAAATTATTTGTTTTTCTGGATGGATTTTAAAGAAAGTTGAACATATAATCAAGAAAAGTCACGAATTCAGAAGTGATGTCGTAATCTGTTGTATTAGTGCTCAAGATACATTATATATGTTTAAACGAATCATTCATCTAACTGTACTGAATTTTATATAGCATATTTCAAAACCTGAGTTTCAAATCTCATATTCCTTTGAACCATGCTCCATATATATGTCAAACTAAGATTTACTAAGGAAGTTTTTGAACCAATGTGCCGAGTATTTCGGGTATCTTTTCAAGCCATCTTTGAAATCCACAAAGACGAGTCCAAATCGCACACTATAGCCAGAGTCCCACTCCATGTTATCCAGCAATGACCACACAAAATATCCCTTCACATTCACACCATCCCTTGTATGTATAAAAATCAACAAAAACAAAGGAATTAACCAAAAAAGTCACTCCTGTATTAGTTTTCTACTCTTTCACACTTTTTTATAATAAAATGAAATTGGAGAAAGAAACTATTTCCCCCCTTTTCCTATAAATGGTAAATGTAAAAGCAAGTACGAAAAACAAATATAGCTTCAATCTGTGAATCAAGATTCAAAAAACTCTGATAAAGCATCACTTACTTGATTGCAGTTTGAAGATAATAAAGATGTCGGTATATGTAATCAACTCTGTATGTATCTAGAAGGCTTTCTTCAAGTGAAAGTGTTGGATCGTCAAACTCGTCATAACCTATCAATTAGTTTTGCATAATTTTCGTTAATTTTTTTTATGAATCATTGGCTTTTTCAATATTGCACTATGTATGACTGATCTAATACCGTTTTCAGTAATGTAAATTACGGGGTTGTTGTAATGCTTCTTGATGAAAAGCAACAGTCGTCGGAATCCTCGTGGATAAATGCACAACCAGTTAGAAGCAGCCTGCAAATTATTATAAACAAGAGTTTAAATAAAATTGTATGATCTTTTAGAGTGAAGAAAGTAACAAATGAAAACCATTGATACGTAACATTGGTGCCAATGAAATTATGAAATACATACCATTGGACCAAGGAGCTTGCCATTATGCTGATCTGTAATTGAAAAATAAAAAAAACTATGTTTTCAAGAAATTTTATGAGTTCTGTATCATTCATTAGAAGAGAAACAACTAGTTCAGCCATATAAGCAACTTGATTATTACTTGTAACATTAACAAGAGAATCAGTTTGTAAGGCTGGTCTGACACCAAGTTGGTGAGGTGCATGGGCAGCATAAAAGGATGAGTAGTAGTTTAGGCCCAGAAAATCAAATGACCCTTTGAGTTGTCTGGACTCTTCTCTGGTGAACTCTGGTAGCCGGTTTCCCAACATAGATCGCATGCTCTTTGGATACTCACCTTTAGTGAGTGGTTCCATAAACCTGATAATATAAAGTGCAAAAATGTAGATGCAATCAACAAGTAGTGCCGAAACAGAACAAATGCTACATCACTACATTTGAATCTTGCTGGTTAGACTTATGAGTGTTTCTTTTAAACTCATGTGGAGTTAATTTGAATTCCTAAGTAATATACAATCAAATTTTTATTCATGTTTCGGAGAAGAGCTATAAGTTATGTAAACATCACAAATCAGCCACATTAAGATGAGTATCACACATCAAGTTTGATTACATCCACTAATGGCGATCAATGATGTGGAATGCTTTACAGTAACATTTCGATCACATAATTGCATAGCCATTAATGTTGTGGGTCCAAACTTTTCTTACATGATGGAGTAGTATACCATCATTCATGCCATGATCATATTTTCAATGATAAATATCGTCTCTGTCCATTTTAGTTCCCTTCAAGGTTTTAGTGTTGAGTATAACCTTACCATCCAAAAATGAAGTCAAGGCCCCGACGTGCAGCATCTCGATCTGATTTCTGTTTTGAAACCGGAACATACCAATCAGAATTCAATGTAACCCCTATTAAACCCTTTTGAGATGCCTGCATACAAATTTTCAAATATTTTGGCAATTTAGTTACTAACAGCGTCCAATATCTTTACATGAAAATAAAGCATGGTCCATCAGCAAAAAAGAAATTACGTGTGGGTATTGTACTCATTGACCCACCATTAGAAAAGTTCAAGTGTCATGTTATCTAAATTTCAGGACATAGTTGGTGATTCAACATTAAAACACTCAAGAATACAGAGGACCTGATACTTGGTCTTATACAGTTTGGCAGCAGCAGCATGAGCAAGAAGTTGGTAGTGTGAAGTCAAGTAGGGCTCGATTCCGGAATCACCACCTGTGCAGTTCAGTTTTAACCAATCAGAACACCGACCAGGTGCAAACCTACCATTTGCATAGCCATTCTTGCTCACACTCCTTGGTTCATTTAAAGTAATCCAATGTTTTACCCTATCACCAAATTCCTTGAAGCAAACTTCAGC